CTCTGAATGTTTCACCCACCACACACAGTCAGCGCCTCAGGTATGGACTCATAATGAGTGTTTACCTTTCTGAAAGATGTGAAGTCATGTCTTAAAAGTAAAATCATTGTTATGTGCTGCATTAAATCTGTTGGATGCTGACAGGTCAGGGAAAATGACACAAACGTGAAAACAATCAAACTCAGTCATTGTCAGACACATTAACACCATCATCACTATTACACTTCCACTGAAGTGGCTTTATTTATAACTGCATTGATATTTGTATACCTGATAAAAAGAACAATAAACAAACTAGAGCGTGTGAAACCTGGCAGCTGTGACCTGAAGCTGCTGCAGCTTCCTCTGCTTCTTATGGCCTCTTCCAACTGCAAGCTGCATCTGAGACCCTTGAGCACCACCTACTGGTTAAAATGTGTCAATTCACTCAGACTTTTTCAGTGACCCTGTCCGGAGAACTTGTGCTGAAACCTCCAGAAAGTCAACGCAGAAGTGCAAAAACACTGCAGTTCCTCCAGTGTCCACTTTAGACTGGCTCCAAAAACGGAGGATTCCCCATTAGGTCCTATATGTTAAAATGTTTACAGCAGAAATAAACATGTCCACAGCCTGATACAGAAACAGGTTTGATCTCTAGAGCTCGTCTCTTAATTAGGGGTGTGGCTGTGTTGACCGACAGGAGAACACGTTGTTGTTTCCCAGGAGGTTTAAGCCCCACCTCTGCTCCGCCTTTTTGCCCGTTTTCCAAATTCATCTAAAGATAAGTAGAGTCAACTTTTCCAATATGGCGACCACCATTCTCTGGCTTCATGTGGGGGTGGGAAATATCCCTTAAAATAATGTTTCACAAACAGCCAATGTGTTTTCACTGTTAATTACATTAGACAGTAAACAAAGGTCTCGAAAAATGAAGCCAATGCGGAAGTACAAAAAACTGCAGTTCCTCAAGATTCCGCTTGAGGCTGTAAATATGGTTATCTGACGTTATGATGAATGTATACTCCACGTAAATGTCAACATTAAAAACAAACTTTGTGTAGTAATTATCCGTCAGTAACATAAACTGAACTCAACTGAACCTAATCTGCTGTGTAGGTTATAGAGGATGACATCAACGTTACATGGTTGATGTAGTGTCTTAAGATTTGTGCAAACTGTTACCAATTTAAAAAAAATTAACTTTGTATGAGTTCAGTGAAATTTAATATGGTTATTAATATAGTTCTTAATCGTTACAGATGCTCTTCCAAAGAATATAGCAGTAGAAATATAAAAGATATAAATAACATATGGAATGAAAATAAGATATAAAGTATATATATTTGGGCTGGGCAACGATTAAAAGTTTTAATCGCGTTAATTGCATGAGTTCCTGTGATTAATCACGATTAATCGCATTGTTATACGCAAAATCCAATAATGAATTCAAAAGTGTATAGTGCACTTTTATTGTAAATGTACTTCTCAACCTAAACAATGTAATCAAAGCAAATAAATACAAAACTAAAGCTTATTGCCACTGCAAGGGCATAATGTCATTCTCTTTGTTATATTAAAAAAAAACTGCCCAGAAAGGTTTTAGGCTAAGCGGTATAATGAAAATGTCGGGACGCCATTTTTAAAGTGGGGGAGAGTGTGACAGGTCAATTGAGAACATTGATGTTTATTGTTTGGTTATCGGGGACCCCACAAACACATTTTTGTTGTACTTGTCATTTTGAAATTCTTTAGTTTAAAATCCTTTTTGAATTCATCTTCAAAGTTGCTAATGTTAATGTATTTTTCTGAACTGCAACATTATTCAAGCAGTCCATGTTGACATGTTATTAATTAAATGCGCTGCATAATCTACACCACTAGGTGGAGTCTGTGAGTGAGAAACAGTGACATGCAGGAGTTCAGAGAAGAAGAGTGTTGTTGTTGTGATGCTCCGGAGTTAGCAAGAAAGCTGTGTTATTATTCAGCAGCTGAAGAGACTCTTAGGCAGAGTGAATGAAGGTACTGGGTCTTTGTTAAACGCTTAAATAAAGTGAAGACAAGTGAAACGACCTTTCAGCGTCCGCCTGAGTTTCTGGCTGCAACATATTTTGGAGTACTTATCAAGTACTCCGGTGATAAGAAAATTCAACTTCGCAGTGGTTACAAATAACTTCGGCTCTGTGGACTGCGCCGTCTGGAAGAACTTAAAATGAAAATGGCCATGTAAAAGTTCCGTACCCTTCTCCATGCTTGATTATCCGCCAAAAGCAACATACTAGGCTCACGATGGAATTTTACAAAATAAAAACCAGTGAGCAAAATACTTTTACAATAAGAAAATAACTAATAAAAACTGCGTTAATGCGAGATAAAATAATTGTCGGCGATAATTGATTAATTAGTTAACGCGAAAATAACGCGTTAACGTGCCCAGCCTATATATATATATATATATATATATATAAGTACAAGAAATAGTTTAAGGATACAGCCATGTATCGAGCTCATGTTAATAATAAATGAGTTACTGTATGTTCTGTACTGAAGCACAGAGAGTTGGGACCTGTTAATGATTTAAATAATTCAGGTAATATTTGTTTCATGTAAAGATGAAGTACTATCCACAATAAACTGCTTAATTTTTCCTCACAAAATCTGAGGCAATTTGATGTGGAATATCATTGTGTGAGTGAGAGAGCTGAAAACAGCATGATTACAATAATGTTTATCTTCTTAACTTTGAATAGATGTTGATTACCTGAATACTGTACCTTTGTTGTCTGGGTAGTACACTGTTGAATTTATAAATGTGCTCTTACACACAGATGAATACAGAAAAATAGATGAGAACAAACAAATGATTTAATGAATAACTGATATTTTCTCTCTTTCTTTGCCATCCTGAAGACCCCTCACTAAAAGTCCATGTTCTCCAGGATCCATGTCACATGCTCAAGCTTCTTCAGAATGACTTTTCAACAGTCGAAGTTCTGGTGAGAGAAGATGGCCAGCAGATAAGACAGCAGTACATCAAGGAGCTCCACAAGCTTCAGAAGAAGGAGGGTTTGCACCTTGGAAGACTGTATTCATGCTGTTCAAATAAAAATAGATCTCCTCCAAACAACTTGCAATCAAACCCTTTTCTTCCCATTTTGAAACCCTTTGTCCAGTTTAGATGGGAGAAGTTGATATTATGTGATTTTATCTGTTATTGATCTTATTTACTCTTTATGTATCTTGATTTAAGAATGGGGCTGTGTTTAAGGGCAAATTTAGCAATGACTCTGTTCCATCCCATTTTAAGAAATGAACTACATTAGTATTTGGTAAAAAAAAAATGTCAAAAGAATAAAAAGTTGTGTAAAAGTAGACTTCCTTCCCTTAGCTATTGAGTTGAGCATTAATGCACATTTTAGTCTTGTCATTTCAAATCTGAAATGTATACTCATAAGTAGACATAAAGGAGTGCATTTATATAGAAATATTTATTTAATCTGAAAAACCACATTCAAAAAGTCTGTTTTTACAGCAGAGATTAACATGTTTACAGCTTGGTACAAAAAAACAAATAGGTCTGATTAGCTCATGTCTCGATCGACACACACTGTACGGGGGGGTGAATGTTTTGATGACCTATAGGTTTTGATTTGATGAAGGATAAGAGTTATTCACATTAAGTCATGTAGCTGACCTGATTGACAGGCGGGCGCGGTGTAACGGTTTGTCAGGAGGCTTAAAACCTGCCTCAGCTCCAGCTCTCAGCCTGTCTTTAGATTGACTGAAAGTTAGACTGAGACAGCATTTCCAGCATGGAGACCGCCATCGATGGGACTTCAGTGTCCCCTGCAGGAACAGACGGGTCACTCAGGCTTCAAACTTTATTATTTACAGTCTCAAGTGGAAACAAGGCTTCTTCTTGACGAAGCAGGTTTTATTGACAACTGAAGAATTTTCCGCTCAAACTGCAGACGTCACGTCGTCGTTGTTCTCGGGTGTTTCAGGTTCCTTCAGTAAAAAATATGGGCTTTCATTCGACTGCGTCAAATCTGCAAATGGAAAAGAATAAGTCTTGTCTGTTTGGCAGGTTCATTTGGTGGGATTTAGATTTAGAATCTTGAAACCTAAATATGTTTCCCACATTTAAGGAGCTAACTGTTACCTGTGTAATCTCTACCTAACGTGTCTCCGATGCAGGAGTAAGGGGACTCATTAGGTAGAATTGTGTCTGCAAGAAAACATGACAAAATATTCTATATTTTACCAGGAATATTTGGTTTAACAAACATTTTTAGTGTAAACGTAAAAGTATTACCAGTTGGCTTCTCCATCAGAGGAAGCTCAGAGATGGTGGAATACGTGGGATCATTTTGGTTTAATCTGTCTAAAAAATTTAACCAACAAGCATTATTATACAGAACCAGCTAACATTAACTTATACGGCTTCTTTTTACACCAAGGTTTTTTTAAACCAAAGCTTGCTTTACACAGCTGACTGAGCTTTGTTTTGTTTTTTCCATCACTGCTGCAACATTCTTGGTCATCCCAGAAACAGCAAGTTTGTCTTTCTCTATAAAATAAAAATAACTTTTCTCACCATTTTTTGGCTGAAACAATGCATCCGGTATTTCTTCATAAATAGCTTCTTCTTTTTTACCTGCAAAGAAAAAGGCGGGCACAACAGGTAATCTGGACTAAATCGGACTTTAAGATGAAAAAAAATGCAACGGTTTTTCTTTTTCTATTGAGTTCAAAACCAGCTGAAGTAAGACGAACTCTTGCTTTATGAGCATGTTGTAGACTTACTGTAAACTTACTGCTTTAATGAAAGGATTGATGTCGCTCATAATTAAGAGATTCATTTAGGCAGTCTGATTATAAACCCCCTTCTTGTTGCAAAGTGGTAGGAAGTTTTTAAAGCTTTTGTGGGTGCCACATGGCCTCTTTTGTCTGATGGCTGAGAAGCTCAATTTGAAGTGAGTTTTTATTTCATTTTATTTGAATTCATGTCTTTTTGTGTATTTTAACATGAAGGCGTAGTAAAACTTAAATCTGAGCCGAGCTCCCAGACGGTCGGGATTCATTTGGATCTCCAAACATCCAACAACTGATCGTGAAAGTGAGTTTCGTTTGCTGCTCTGCAAGGAAAAATACAAAGAGACAGGCATGGCCCAATTTGGGGCTTGTCGCAGATATGTCCAAATAATAATATGTCCAAGTGTGTGCCAATGATGTCCATGTGCATTTTGCACTGGCATTAAGCACCTTTACCGTCTTCTCCGCCAGAATTTCATCCAGATTCTTTTTCTGTTTTTTTTATTTGGATCGTCCCCCGTTTTTGTTCTTCTTCTGTATTGTGTAATTATATTTAAATATCTCATATTCTGCTTGATTTATAGACAATATTGTTAACAAGAAGCATTCATTTACCTCCTTTTTTAAATCTTCTTTTTTTACAATAGACAGTGACTATAATGATGAGGATAATGATGAGGATGATGATGAGGACGGTGATGAAGATATACATCCATAACACCAAACCAGGAGTGTCTTTGGAGTCTGAAAAATCAAATCAGAATGAATAACTCAAATTCGATCGATGGTACACAGAGCAGGCTCTTTTCATTCAGTATTTGAATAATTATTAAAGTAAAACATAAAATAACAAAACACTAAAAACTTTACAAGTCAGACTTGTTGGTTCTATGTTTTCTGAGCCATGAGATGAACGAAACGTCGTGATGGTTAATTTGAAACACTTGTTTCTTTACCTGAGTCTGTCGATTGTGTTGAGTTTAAAGTTGTCGTTAAAGTTGTTTCTTGTGTCTTCAATCCTTTTAGTTTGTGGGGAAAAAGAAAACATAGATTTTGCAATATTTTAATTAAAGACTAGATTCACATTTTCACGTTGCAGTCAAACACTTCAATCAAAATATATCACAGAACAGTTTGACCACTTTGAAAAATGTATCTAAAAATCTAATCAGGCTTTACTGTTTTAATTCAACAACAGTGTGACTAAACCTGTGTGGATGTAATTTGATAGTTTCTTCATGCTGATGCTTTTGAAAAATGGAGAGAGGTTAGAACGCAGAAAGGTTTACAGACCGATGCAGAGTTGACTAAACACTGAAGCTTCAGTGTCCACCACATGGCAACCTGCCAGGAGGGGGCGGGGGGAGACAGCTCTCTACAATGTTTTTAGTTTGGACTGCAGTACTCATTTTAAACAAGGTGCCAGAGTTACATACTGCTCCTTTAAGGACGAGTACTACATCAACTAAAGTAGCTTTGATAAGTCTTCATTTTCTGATTTCTAAAATGTAATCTTGACTCAAGAAGGTTATGAAATAATTCTTAAATAAAACTTTTTTTAATGACAATATTATAATCAGGGTCAACTTACTCTTATTGTCCTCATCTGTGGATTCGTTGTTGGACTTTTCTTTCTTTGTTGTTGCCATGTTACTGTTTGCCGTTGTTGTTAATGGAACAGTTGTTGCTGCTGCTGTTTGTCTTGTAGGTGGTTTAGTGATTTTAGCCTTGTGACCTTCAGTGTTAAACAGAAAACAGTTATAATACAAGAAACAGAAAAGAACTCTCGCTCAGAGGATCACGGGCTGAATGTGAGAAATGAAAAAAAGCTGCGGTCTTTTTTTTTTTTAGATGTGTCAAATATAAAGTTTTCTCACGACTTGGACCAGTTGAATGAAGAGGCTAGTGTAATAATAATAATACTACAGAAAAATGCACATCAAATCAACTTGATGCCAAGAGCTCAGCTACACATCGGCTGGAGTTTTCTAACAATCTACACTTTAATAGTTTGCTCTTTTGTTTGTTTGTTTGTTTTGTTGAGAGATCAGAAAGAGTTATGCAATTGTTGAATTTTTTGTTTGTTTTTGTTTTATTATCATTTAATTCTTTCATCATTTAATACATAGGTCATAAAGTCATAACCTTTTTCTGCTTTCAACATCTTGAAAAAAGAGAGAGATTTTGGCTATAAAAACCCTATAGAAAATCTGATCGGGGTTCCTTTTTGCTTTGCAAAATGAATCCACGTCACTCTGACTTTTGAAATCCCATTTTGGGACTTAGTCTCTGAGCCAAGATCTTTTAAAACCTCAAGTGTCTACACTCACAGGTTTAGACTTTGGTCTTTGAGTTTTGTTTTCCTTTTCCATTTTTTATACCTTTTACTTATACTGTTTTGTATTTGCATTTGGAATATCATTTGAAAATTTTTATAAATTTTCGGAAACTTTTCGAAATCATTTTCTGACTGAAATCATTTACACCACAAAGACTGGAAGTTCCCCTTAAGGACCCCGTGTACCTCGGAAGTTAAGTTTTGAGCAGTCACACCACGGCACACTTGTGTTACTGATTTATATGACACACTTCATACACACCAAACATCCTAGCGGGGGGAGTTCACAGTTATTCCCTCTCTGGGGGGTAATCTAGAGTCCTATACCAGGGGTTATCCTTGAATCTAATTATTCTAGAAATGAATGTTAGGCAGATAATCCTGGGGCTGTGATTATAACTTGTTCATCTGTCCTCCAAAGGGTGTTAGAGGAGTAATTTTACATAGCTCCTTCCACTAGGAAAGAGTAGACTAGCAGGTTGGTAGGGAGCGAGCTCTCATTTAGTTCTAGGAAAGAGTAGTCTAGTTAACTAATGGGTGGTGGGCTTCCGTTAGCTATAGTAAAGTTATTCACCCCTTTTTGCATGTCCAGGACATGCAACAGTTTACATTAAGGTCTTGTGATGGGCATCGTTTTGTCAGCAGTGTGGTTACTAGGACCCGTCTCAGTTTCTTAAAATATGTACGATAGTTTTAGGTCAATTGCTCTGTAGACGGAAGAGTCTGTGCACATGCTCTGTTGTTTCATTACACAGTTACAACTACTACACCAACTACTGGCCTGGCATGAACACTGCAGCGTTTTTAGTTGTTTTGAGGATGCGTGTGAGCAGCGGTTATCAAAATGTCGTCTGAACGCAGAACTTTTTTGGAAAACACCAACTTATAACGATACAGTTTTCAGTGGATTGTTTTCGTTTAAACATCTCTTTAATGACAGTATTAAAATCAGGGGCAACTTACTATTATCCTCGTCTTCTGTGGATTCGTTGTTGGACTTTTCTTTCTTTGTCGTTACCATGTTACTGTTTGCCGTTGTTGTTAATGGAACAGTTGTTGCTGCTGCTGTTTGTCTTGTAGGTGGTTTAGTGGTTTTAGCCTTGTGACCTTCAGTGTTAAACAGAAAACAGTTATAATACAAGAAACAGAAAAGAACTCTCGCTCAGAGGATCATGGGCTGAATGTGAGAAATGAAAAGAAGCTGCGTTTTTTTTTTTTTTTTTAGATGTGTCAAATATAAAGTTTTCTCACGACTTGGACCAGTTGAATGAAGAGGCTAGTGTAATAATAATAATACTACAGAAAAATGCACATCAAATCAACTTGATGCCAAGAGCTCAGCTACACATCGGCTGGAGTTTTCTAACAATCTACACTTTAATAGTTTGCTCTTTTGTTTCTTTGTTTGTTTACATTAAGGTCTTGTGATGGGCATCGTTTTGTCAGCAGTGTGGTTACTAGGACCCGTCTCAGTTTCTTAAAATATGTACGATAGTTTTAAGTCAATTGCTCTGTAGACGGAAGAGTATGTGCACATGCTCTGTTGTTTCATTAGCTTAGATATTAGCATATTGCTTGACTATGGTGTAGCAGACAGGGTGCAGTCTGCATCCAGCTGCACAGCAGAGGGCTGTGAGGAAGGGGTGTGGCCTAGGAGAGGCAAATTGATGATTGTTTGCACCTGAGAGGGAGAGTGTGTGTGAGAGGAGACAGAGGATTGCTGCACAGTAGAGTGTTGGACAACTGGAGAAGGGGGGTTCAGGCTGCTTGCAATGTTCTTGGATGCCAAACAATTAAAGGAGAGGAGCGTTCATAAAAACCTAGAGTGGGCAGATTGTTTTGCCTTCTTTGCTCTGGAGGTATGGACTGGAGCTTCGTAAATGATCGGGCAGTTATGAAATTATCATTGGAGTGGTAACGCTGCAACCCCTCTCAGGAACCAAAACCTGGACAGGTGATATCGTCTCACTCTCTCTCTGTGTTACCTCACCTCAAGACTTCCCCTGCTTCTGGTCTCCAATCTCTCCTTCCCCCCAGCCCAAACAGCCGCTCACACACCTTCACACACACACACCCTCAACCCCTCTCTTTCTTTAATATTTATATTTTTTATGAAAACATTGGACTGGTTTAAATCTTTGTTTTTGATGAACTTTAAATATGAAATATTTCTGTTGTCCTGAATGTATATTTAATGTATAAATTAACTTTGATTTAATTGTATTTCGCAGCGTGGTTTTGTGTTGAATTTAGGTGGGAATACGTGCTATTCACCCTGAGACTTTTTTGACAGACTTAAGGGTCTGTCTGGCGCCCAATTGGACCCCTGCTCGATTTCAGTTACGCTACAATGGGCATCGGCTAATTCTATCTCAGACATGCGCCGATATTCCAGATATCTTCAAGAGTCAAAAAGCATTTCATTTGAGTATCTTTGTGTTACACTAACAGTTCTCTGTCACCAGCAGAGGGTGCTATATGGATTACAAAAAGCATCATCACTCTTGAGCGGTGATGCACGTACATGAACAGATACTTTCCAGTTTAGTGACCATCTTGTCTTAATTATTAATCTTTTCTACAAGTGTTTGATAACTGCATTTGTGGGGTCAACTCAAAAAACGTGTTATCTATCTCTAAACAAATCAACAAAGATATCTGTCGATAGATCGGTATCAGATTTTTTTTCATCCCTAATATCGGTATCTGTATCGGCCCCAGAAATCACATATCGGTAGGGCCCTAGCTGCAATCAGAGTTGTGTGTAATAAAAGGATCAGAGGTTTGATCAAGAGGAAGCTTACATGGAGTTAAAAAAACCAATATCGGTGAGTCTGGGGAAGTCAAACAAGATAAATATGAGAGGTATCAATGTCCTCATATCTCTAAATATCTGTGACAAGAAGGTGGAAAGGTAGATTACTAAGAATCTGTCTGACTTCTTTTAAATAACTTCTCTTAACTTCTTCCCTGATGATGTGTTCCTCTCACCTCTGTCAGACGCATCATCTCTGATCACGTTCAGGTACGCAGCAGGTTCTCCATCGCAGGAGTAAAGTCCAGAGTCAGCAGCCTGAAGGTTTGTGATAATCAACGTCTTGTCCAATCGAAAAACCTCAAACCGACTTTCTTTTGGTATTGGTCCAGCTTCTGTCCACCATATTTGATCGTCTGAAACATCAAGACATTTCAGAGTGACGCTGGTCCTCTCTGTTGCCTCGTGAACGACTGTTCCTGTGCAGAGGAAACAAAACAGGTTTTATTATGAGCTACGATTAATGCATCACGCAGAGTAAAGTCAGAGGATTCTAAACTGTCATTAAATAAAGACTAACAAAGGTAAAAAATATGTTTTTTAAGTAACTGGAAAGAAAAATCAATCCCAATTTTTTAAAATGAAAATGCACAGTTCTTTCAAATTACTGAAGTGTGTCTGTGGTCCATGTTAAACTAAAATACAAAATCTGGGCAGAGAAATCGAGTCATGTTGAAAAGTTTTTAATAAAGTTCGATGTTACCTGGTGGGGTCACCGTCAGATCCACAGCTGCTTCATCATTACACAAATATCTTCCATTGTCTGAGAACATTACTCTTCGTATCATTAGAGATTTATCTGCTAATGAACTGTAATGTTTATGTGGGTCTGAAATGTGTTTTGTCTCTTTTTCACCCTCAACAGTCATTAAGTCAGTTTTTTTTCCATTCTTCTCTCTGCTCCACTTCACTTTATCCACAGGGTGAGGACAGGGTAAAGTGATCGATTCCTTCTGCTCGACTATTTTATGGATGATTGCTGCAACAGAAACACAACGTTAGATACAAAGACTCGGCTGTCAGGATGTCTGTATTCTTAAAATTGCAAGCAACTAAAATGTGGTTTGAAACCAGTTTCAGAATCACATTTAACTTTCTCTTCATCAAACGCGTCTTTGTGTCATGAACCTCCAACATTAAATCCACCAGACTTCACATGCAGAGGTGGATCATCTTAATGATGCAGCATCAGGTTTAAACACGCACGTTCACGTTTAATGCACGTCCATTGGTGTTTTGACAGACAGTAAGAAAAAACAGCTCAGTCTCTAGGGACTTGGATTGGCGAACCAGAGAGTCGCTGGTTCAAGTCCCGGTGCAGACAGTGGCTGTATCTGAATTGCCAAGTACCTACTCAATCTTTCAGTAGGCAGTAGGCAGTACCTACTATCCGTGCTGTGTACTGTTTAGTACAGGGGTCTCAAACTCAAACTGGCATGGGGCCACTGGGAGTACTGTCGACTTAAAGGAGGGCCACTACAAAGTTCAAGCACCACAAAAAGGACTTTATTTTTGCGAATGTACTTTTTGTTTCCGCAAAATTTTGTCACACATCACTAATACAAACAGCAGTTTATATACATTTTTCAAAACATCTGCTTTCATTTAGTAGTGCAAGTCTTTTGTGTTTGCTTTATAACTTAAATAACTTAATCAAATAATAAATAAAACCTGCACTGAACCAAAAAATGCAGTTACTCAAAATACCAATACATTAATCCTGCATTCTCTTTCTTGCCAGACACCTGGCAGCGCTTCTGCTCACACAGATGAGCCACATTTACCTTGACGGAGGTCACAGTTGAAACCCTGAGTACAGCTTCAAGGTGTGCATCATTAAGCCTGGACCTGTACTTGCATTTATTAAAGTTCATTGTCGAGAAAAGTTTCTCACACAGATATGTGCTTCCAAAAAGGCACATTACACGACTGAACAATTTGGATAGCTCTGGGAAGGATGCAGGTAATTCTCTTAGAAACTGTCCAGTCAGGTCGGCCTTCCCCTATACCTCTCTGAATTTATTTTTCAGTTCACTGTTACACTGCAGGTCAACAAGTTCCATTTGCAACACACTTGGGACACTCTCAACATCAGCTGAAAAAGGGTCTGCAAATACCTGCAAGTACAAAACTTTAGTACCTACTGTTCAGTGGGCGTGCACAGTAGGCAGATATTTGTTCCTACTTCATCTGATTCATTCAGTGTGGAAGTGACGTCATTTATGTTACCCGAACCGGCCGCATTCACCCTTTTTTTTCATTTTATTTTTTTTAGAGTAATGCGCATATACAGTCAGGTAAACAAAAAACAACATCACAAGTCAGACAGACGCATTTAAATAGTGAAATCATTATTTAAATAGAGGCGGAAAGGTTTTATAATAATGCAGATATTTGTTATATTTTCTGTTGTTAATTAAAAGTATCGATTTCAGTCGGGACTTTAACTCTAGAATAAAAATGTATTCAAGTAATCCACGCTCGTTTGTTTTGATTTGGAGGCAGACGTGATGTGACGATTTACGTTTAATTTCGCACAGCATTGTGGGTGGTAAAATACAATTCATTTCCTGAAAGCACGCATCTGATCCATACTGCATGAAATCCGGAAGTTAGTATCCATACTGAAATGTTCAGTATACTGAGGTGGACCCAAAAAATGCATAGTGAATGACCACGGAAGTTCAGTATACTGAAACTCCCTACTGAAAAGTACGTACTGCCGACTGAACTGTGACAATTCGGAAAGGGCCCTAGTCTGGAAGTTGGTCTGGTAGCTGGAGAGGTGTCAGATCACTTCCTGAGTACTGCCGATGTGACCTTGAGCAAGGCACCAAACCCCCGCCCCACCAGCTCAGGAGCGTTTGCCATCAGTGCATCCACAGGATCGTGTGTGTGTGTGTGTGGAGCATGTTCAACAACACAGCGTCAAATGTAATCTCCCTCTAATAATTAATGGAGGATATCTTCTTCATCTTCATAGTAAAGAAATCAATGCACTAATCATGTATAAAATCAACAACCAACAACCCAAACTGATGAGAATAACACATTAAAAAATATTCCACATTTATGTAAATATTGCGGTGTAGGTACGTTACCACTGAATCTATCCGGGCTGTTTTTTTACTTCCTGAAGTAACCTTTCTCACGCTTACATCAGCGGCTCAATTCCTCATGAAAGTTTGATTCACATTTCAGATTCATTTCAACTCAGAAAACTCTACACAAAAGTCTTCACAACACGCTTCAAAGTGATGGTGAGAAACAGGGCAGTCTTACCTGCAGTGAGGTTACAGCTCAGGAGGAAGGCAAACAGGCAGCAGCTGATGATCACCTTCATCTTGGCACTGACTTCTGTCACAAAGTGAGCACAGTTTCTCTTAGAAGAGAACAGGAACTCGACCGTCTACGTGCCAGCGGGTGTGTGTTCCTCTACCCTAAACACCCACATTGGTAAGTTATAAGAGTGAGTCTGTGACTATTTCAATCTGTGGTTAATGAGCGCTGAAGTTTCCTTTTCTCTGAATGTTTCACCCACCACACAGTCAGCGCCTCAGTTATGGACTCATAATGAGGGTTTACCTTTCTGAAAGATGTGAAGTCATGTCTTAAAAGTAAAATCGTTATGTGACCAAAGCTGCATTAAATCTGTTGGATGCTGACAGGTCAGGGAAAATTACTACAAACGTGAAAACAATCAACTCAGTCATTGTCAGACACATCAACACCATCATCACGATTGCACTTCCACTGAAGTGGCTTTATTTATAACTGCATTGATATTTGTATACCTGATAAAAAGAACAATAAACAAATGTGAAACCTGGCAGCTGTGACCTGAAGCTGCTGCAGCTTCTGCTTCTTATGGCCTCTTCCAACTGCAAGTGGCATCTGAGACCCTTGAGCACCACCTACTGGTTAAAATGTGTCAATTCACTCAGACTTTTTCAGTGACCCTGTCTGGAGAACTTGTGCTGAAACCTCCAAAAGCCAATGCAGAAGTGCAAAAACACTACAGTTCCTCCAGTGTCCACTTTAGACTGGCTCCAAAAACGGAGGATTCCCCATTAGGTCCTATGTTAAAATGTTTACAGCAGAAATAAACATGTCCACAGCCTGATACAGAAACAGGTTTGATCTCTAGAGCTCATCTCTTAATTAGGGGTGTGGCTGTGTTGACCGACAGGAGAACACGTTGTTGTTTCCCAGGAGGTTTAAGCCCTACCTCTGCTCTTCCTTTTTGCCCGTTTTCCAAATTCATCTAAAGATAAGTAGAGTCAACTTTTCCAATATGGCGACCACCATTCTCTGGCTTCAGTGGGGGTGGGTGACGTCACTGAGACTACGTTCATGTTTTGTACAGTCTATGGTAAAAATTGACTGAATTTGGTCAACGTGAAATATCCCTTAAAAGAATGTTTCACAAACAGCCAATGTGTTTTCACTGTTAATTAAATTAGACAGTAAACAAAGGCAATGCACAGAAAAGGACGTCATGGTAGGAAGTAATTCATTGCTTACTGCTAGCTACCAGGAGCTTAATACGTATGGATGGAAATGGAAATACCAGGAGCCCTGAAATGTTATTTATCTCTCCCAGAGGCTGTAATGTTGTCGGACCAAAGTATAGCTTTCCAGGATTGCAGAGAAACTGACAAAAGAGAAGAAGACAGACAGGCCACATTTTTTATTGCTGGTTTTAATTACTGGTAAATGGAAAAGAAATGTCAATGCATTTTGACAGTAACGAGTCAGGGCTCAGCTTGACTCACTTCCATTATTTTTTCAATGTGAATTAAATGTGAATTAAAGTGGCCTTTAAACTTTATATTAACATATTCTGTAAAATCAACCTAATATGTGTCCCTAGTATGTCTACAAAACTCCCAATGATGAAAAAAGTCCATCATCTCCGTCTTTTGCCTGCTCCACTTTTCAGAAAATGTGTGTTCAAAAATGCCATTTAGAGATTTTCCCTTCATGACATCACAAAGGGCAGTAACCCCTCCTCTAGGTGGGTGACTCTCCCACAGCTAGGTGTTTGTTCTGCCCTCTGAGTCTGCCTTCTCATCGTTAACAATAGGGCATGGAGCGAGAAAGCCAGAGACACCCAAGTCCTTCCAGACAGGGGGCGTGGGCAAACACAGCTCATTTACATTTAAAGGTACGGGCACAGAAACAGCCTGTTCTGAGCAGGGCTGAAATAGAGGGGTTTATAGGCATGATCAAATACAGGATCAGAGTGGATTTACAACAAGAAACTTCACAGACATGTTTTGAGGAGTTCTGAGACTTATTTACACTGGTTGAAGAGGAGGAGGATATGTGACCATTAAAGATCATTGTCCAAACTGTGATATTAAGAAACTTTTATTTGGGTAAGACTTAAAGGCATTTTCAAATGTACATTTGGAGTCAAATGATTGATTTCTTGAGTAAACATGTAATAAGCAGCTTCAGGTCAGGGTCCTGCTGTAACAAACTGAATACATTATTCACTGCATATAGAACAGAAAAATTGCAGGAGATAAGCTTCTACATGACGGCCCTAAAAAGTAGTAAAATAGTGGTTATAGATCCAGGAGTATATCTTTGAAGTCCGTAGAAGAAGAAATGTTGATTTTGAGCCGGCCGTGACACTCTTGTTTCTGTGTGACAGAGGATCAGACTTAGTTTCCTCTTCCTGTCGCGTGTCGTCTCTCAGTCTGTCGAGCTGCAAGACACCGAAAACAAAGAAGATGATGAAGGACGTTTTTATTCAACTTGTCCTCATTTACACGCTCACATTTATGGTGATTCATAAACATAACGTCTTACTTTGACTGTCTCTACAGTTTCAGTAAGTGGTGAAAAGTTGGGCTATGATCAAACCTTCTAAATAGTGCCACCTTGTGGTCGCTCATAGAACACTTTTTGATTATATTTGATAACCTGCTGAGTGAAGTTTATTAGCAAAAAATAAAAAGTTTACAACTAAGTGATCAGAATAAAGCTCAGAAGTGATCCACCTGTGATGTTAATATCATGAAACAAAGATGACGATGACGACTCTAAATGGATGAATGAACGCCACCTTCAACTAAACCTCTCAAAGACTGAGCTCCTTGTCATCCCAGCCCGTCCCTCTATTCAACCACAGGTCAATATCCAGCTTGGTACAACTAAACTCAAGCCCACAAAGTCTGCCCGGAACCTGGGTGTCATGATTGATGACCAGCTAACATTTCACATTCAAGAGGACTCGATCGCCCGGTCATGTCGATTCGTACATCATCAGGAAGATCAGACCTTACCTGTCAGAACATGCTACACAGCTCCTGGTTCAGGCTCTTGTGATATCACGCATTGACTATTGCAACTCTCTACTGGCAGGCCTTCCTACATGCACTATCAAACCCCTGCAGATTATACAAAGTGCAGCAGCACGACTGGTCTTCAATTTCCCTCAAAGAGCACATGTCACTCCGCTGTTCATGTCCTTACACTGGCTCCCAGTTACTGCTCGTATCAAATTTAAAACTCTGCTGCTCGCTTACGAAACAGCTACACAAACGGCTCCTCCTTACCTAAACTCTATAATCCAGGTCTACACTCTCTCCCGCCCTCTACGCTCTGCCAATGAAAGACGTCTGATCAAACCTTCACAACAGGTCCTAACCAAACGTCTCCACTGCTTCAGGCGAGGACGTTAGGGATTGCGCTGGAGCACTCAACTCGCCGCTTGATGGGCGCATACCCACTGAAAAGTGGGTTTGTTCTGATTTTCTCCTGGACCTCTCTGCCTACTTGTGATGGCCAAGTTCTTCGCTGTAGGCTACACAATAGTCTCAATGAATGAACCTGATTGGATAAATGCACGGATAGTCCGGGCGGTCCCAGGACCCATTTCGATGGAATTTAGCTCTGGTCTATTCTTGTCCTTTTAGTCAACCTAACGACAGACGGAGAGCTGGAGGAGGGTTTTGAGCCTCCTGACAAACCGTTACATCACGCCAACCTGTCAATCATGTCAGCTACATGCCTGCATGTGGAAATTGGGAGCAAGTTTCTAGCTAGACTATTCTCCTCTGTCGCCCCCTGGTGGTGGAACTCGATCTGCAGAATCCCTTTGCAACTTTAAGAAAAAGCTAAAGACCCAACTCTTTATGAACACCTAAAGAGAGAGTTTGTTCTGTTATTATTTATTTAGAATAAACTGCTGTCATAGTTTTAATGCATAGACTGAATACAATCAAATTTAGATCATTTTGAAATCAAATCTCTTCCTCTAGGTGGCGCTAAAGCAAGGGGATCCAATTAATAGCCAGGTACACATCTCTTTCATCTGATTCAGAAACCCTACATCTGGTCAGGTTGAGTTACTTAACAAAGACTGATTGGTAGATTTTATTGAACAGAAGTGCTGAACACTTTCAGAAGAAAACAAACTTTGCTCACCTTTTCTCCAGGTTGTCACGGTGATGCTGATCATGATGACTAAATAGAGGATAACGATCCCCAGCCGAACTCTCGGAGAATGAGCAGCTGGAAGACCAAAAACATCTGTAAACAGACACTCTTCTATCACGTGTTACGGTCAGTTCATCGCCACAATAGACGTAAAGCTTTTAGATCTGTAAAGTTGTTATAGTCACATCACAGGAGTCTGCTGTGTCCGTACCTGTACCTGAGGCTGCAGGAGAAGAAGCTGAGGCTTCATCGGTGGATGTTGTTGTAGCCGAGAATGTAACTGGTGTAGTCTTCCCTTCTGTGTGGAATAAATAAAATGAATAAATAGATATGTAAATACACTGATTCATTATTTTTAACAGCCAGCATGCACAGTGTTGAAAAACGTTTTTCATCAAGACACAAAAAAAGACCAAAAGAACACAAAACAGCTACAAAAATACACAAATACACAACAAAGTGACCCAAAAATTAGAAAAAAATGACAAGAGAGACATCAAGTGACCACCAAAGGACTTCTACAAAAGATAACATTACAGAAGAAATGCATAAAATACCACAAAAATATTTAAAAATGTCCACATAAGAGACACAAAGTGATTCAAAAGACACAACATGTCTAAAGCCGACCGTCAGGGGGGGTGAGGGAGAAAGCTGGGGATCCAGTCATGTTGGAAGGGTCCACGGAGGTTAGCAAAAAGAAAAAAAGATGAACAAACTTACTTAAAGGCTTTATACGTGATTTTTCACACTTAAATGTAATAAAAATCAAGTATATCCTCCGAAAATAACTCTGTGAGTCATGACTGTCTACAATCGATGTAACACCCGAGTCCAACTGTCTGTGATGCTTTCCGAGTTTTCCGAGTCCTATCTTCAGTTCGTTTACATCGCCAGGACGGCCGGCTGGCTCATCCCCTTGCGTATAAAAGTTGTTTAATTGAGGGACTAGAGAAAAGAAAAAGAACATACTGTACTCACTGCTTAATTGAATGTCATGTTAGCGTTTCTAGATCACAGTCATTTCGAGTAAATTTACATGCAGTGTGATACAAGCATAATAAAGATC